ATTCATGGCTGCTTCTCAAGCTGTTGCTTTAAATCTATTTTCGCTGCCAAGACAACATCATCTAAGAATCCTCTCTGAGGGAACTCATCGGGCACGAGACTTCGATAAATCTCGAAATTCTCTTCAGCTTCCTTTGTTTTCTCCAGTAAGCTGTATACAATTCCCTGAAATACATTTCACTTACTAGATTAAATTAAATTAATTTGCTACCATCATTTTCCACGACAAACTAATCAGCACATGAGTTTCCAACAAAATCGGTTTTCCTTACTTTGGTTCTTAATTTTCTATCAAAATTTTCTTGATAGATCACAAAAACTTTCCTAAATGTTTCGCCCGATGAGAAAAGATTATACCTTTTAAGATCAAAATGGCTATTTCGAGTTTGTACTATGGTAATAACCCCTGCACCAGGGATTTCAATTTGCAATTCTGTAAAAATATTGAAGGGCAATTCTCATCCTCAACAAATTAGCTAAGTTTTGTGGGTAGTAAATTTGTCCTTCACAATACATTACCTCAAAATCAACCATTTTCTTCTTTTCGTTTTCTGCTATTTCTTTCTTGCTTGCCTTTTCACCCATACTTAGATTCTCACAGTAAGCCATGAAATAAATGTCCATGATTAGGTTCAACAGATAGGTCAGCTTATATTCTACCTCTGAAATAACCTTCACTAACATATACATTCCTAGCACATACGTTCAAACAAAGAAGCTACATAAAGATTCTCAAAAAATATAAATGGACTAATAAGTATGTTTAAGACTGAATTATAAAGCAATTTATAGTGCTTATTTACATGACTAACGTCACTAACCTGACATAGGTAAGGCCGAAAATCCCTTGGATTCTCCTCAATAAGATCCTGAAAGTTCTCCAAGGCCTCCTCAAAATTCCCCTGCAAAAATTTCTATTAGTGAAGTTTCTAGAAAAAAAATATATCAAACGGCGCAATGCACCTTGGGTCGCTACGGAAACAGCCTCCTTGTATAATTATCTGCGTACAACTGACCCCCTAGACCCCAACCTGTTGGGAATATACTGGGTATGTTGTTGTTGTTGTTGTTATTTTTGTCTTTGAAAAAAAAAAAAAGAATCAGATTTTCAACATTTCGATGTCGAGTTTCTCCCTTTTACTTTGTTCTCCATTTTCCTACTTTGTTTTTGGAAGTTTTGATATAAACTTCTTCAGTTTGAGATATTGCATTCTCACATATCTTGTTTCTCACTTGTCCATATAATGAACTGATATTGCATTAAAGCTGCAGTAGTAACACCCAAAATAAGACAGTAAAAATTAAGAAACAAATGCTACCTTTATGGTATGCATTTGTGCGATTAAGATTCTAATATTTCGCTCTTCATTGACTCTTTTCTCTCGACGAGCAATCTCTAAGGCCTTATCTAGCATCGCAAAAACAGCTGGCCCTTCTTTCTTCTTATGCATCACCATTGCCAACCCCTAGAAAGGACAATTTGGAATCAGGTTAAAAAATCATAGCCAGCAGAGATAATTACAGGACCTAAAAAAAACACCCTAGAGATTGGACCAAATTACCCAAAAAAAAAAAAAACAGCCAACTTTGAGAATTACCCAAGTGCAATATTCCTATAAATATGAAAGGGGTTTTTAAATGTTCTTTTGCATTTGAAGGGGCTAAATTGCCTTTTATTAGTGTAATTTGAAAAATAATTGGTATTTTTTTCCCTTTTCATCAGGTCAAATTTCAAGGGTAGTTTTTACAATTGCTCAACCATAATTCAGCATGCAGCAATTGATTAGGTCATGAGCATTACTGAAGCTAATAACATAGGTTTGGGAGAGGGAATCAGTTAAATATATTGAGATTTGCTACTCTACCAAGAAGCAAGTTTACAGTTATTGCAAATACATAAACCAAGCCAAGTCAATGAAAACCTGAGGATGTCGTCCTGGAAGTTAAAAGGAGTATTTAAACGCCATTTTTGTTTTTCAATAAACTATTCCAGCATAAACCAAATTAGTAAGAAGAAAATAGAGCTGAAAACTGGATTTTTAACTGCTTTATGTCGCTGAAATTATTATCTTAATGAAACAAGCAAAAACATTTATTGGCAACGATATTCAGTTTCACTCTTCTATTAAGTTGTTAATGAATAGAACGACTTGATGTTCACATATTATGTTGACAAAATCTCTTAATAATTATAAGTTAACTGTTAGCCAATTAGCCATAAACTCATCATATCAATAAAGTAGATTATAATCAACTCGTCACAAGAAGTACTCTATGGAAAAGTTTTGAGATTACTGAGAAAAGAGCATATCACCAAATGCAAGGATGAAGAACAGACAGAAAATTAAACTAAATGTACAGACGCGTTTCAAAGAATCTAAAAGTAAACATAACCAGAACAAACAGAGACAAAGATCAGACAACAAAGTGTGAAGGTGTCAAAAACATGTCGAAATTAATATGTTGCGATCCAGAAACAACAGTTGATTATATAGCCAAATTCAAGACCAAAAACATTCTTGAGGGTCCAAGTCTGCATATTCATAAATAGAATGGTCCTTTTTTTTTTTTTTTTTTTTNACAGAATGTATTACCGAACCCGAGTATTACCAAGAATTACAGTGTACTTAACAATAATCATAAGCATGAACCATGAAACTGTAATGCTAAAAGTGAGCAATAGATTCTTGATCAAAACCAGGAAACTAAGTTAGCAGCGAAGAACACAAATTCATCACCAACAAGGAAACAAAGTAGGAACAAAATGCAGATGCCAGTAAGATAATCAGTTCATACATTCAAAATAACACAATCAGCAGCAGTAGCTACAACTAGATGAAACCCAAATCAACCCAAAGTAAGACATTATTACCGTACATGCAAAGCTTTGAGTAAAAGAGGGCTCTGTTTGAGTATTTCCTTGAACAAGCTTTTCGCCTTACTCAGGTCCCCCGTCATCTCGTAACAAAGGGCCTCCAAAAGCCTCCACTCCATCTCATTAGGCTGCAGGTCGATCAGCTTCTCCACATACTCCATGGACTCACCAGGCTTCCCCTTCTTCATCTTCACATTCACCACCATTTTCAAAGCCTCGATGCTTTCCGGATTTTGCTGCAATAGTTTCACGCACATAATTTCTTCCTCATCTTCTTCTTCTTCTTCCTTTTCGCGACTTTGCTCCGACTGGGAATCGATTTCCTCGAGAACCACGCTTTCTCGAACGGGCTCAGATAAAACAGGCCTTGATTTGAAAAAGCCGACGAAAACGAGCGACCCCAGTAGCACAGCCACGAATGTCTCCATAAAGTACTTGGAGATTTTTTTCGGCGGCGGTGATAGAAAGGCTGCAATTGAGTATTTCGATATGGGTGACGATGAGACGTAAGGTTTTCTGACAGGTTGCCGGAGTTCAGTGTGGAGAGAGATTGAGGACGAAGACTGAAATATAGGGTTTCTGAAGGGGATTAGGTTAGGAAATTTGGGGGTTTTGCTTGTGTACTGATGAAGGGACAGAGAGAGATTGGTGAGAGACGAAGCTGCCATTGTTGGGGAGCGAAAAGGTTTGAACTGTAAGCAGCAGAATGTGAACACGAAAATAAAACAGTACAATAAGAAGTTTTTAGAATGTATAAGAACGGTACAATTTTTATTTTACATCTAAAAAAGATGGTATTATTAAAAAGTCTAATTATTAAATTAATAATTATTAACATATGCCCACATTTGTATTCATAAATAGATTTGTTTGATGCGAGACTAATTTGTGTTGAAATATGTTTAAAGCAAAATATAAATTTAGCTAATAAATAATAACACATACTACTCCGAACATTCACTTTTATTCAGGTAAGAATCTTTCAAATTTTTTTGTCATTGACTTCCTAAAAAAATCTATTTTATTATTCAAGGTGCTCTTTACTTGACAACAATATTACGTGAAAATCAACTTCATTATTTTGAAATAATGGTTTTAAGCAACTGAAATTGAATCAATGCACAGACATTCTTTTCATATTGCAATGTCTTTATTACGACGATGAACACCTTATAACTTATGTTGGAATACCACTCAATTAAGGGCGATTTGTAAGTAGCTTTCACTTCTCACATCATTTTCTGTCTATTCTCTTTTCATAATTGATTTCGTAGGAAACAAACTATGTGCTAGTTTTCTCAAGAAATCATTGTATGATAGTAGTTCTTTCTGACAACAAAATAAGCAGTCCCATAATATGTAAGAACAATCAAACAATCTTCAGTTAATAAAATCTCGGGTGTGGGGGGCTGCTGTAGGCAAATAACAGCAGCCCCAACAGTTAGTTTTCAGCCTTTGATCATAAAACAATTAAAATACAATCCAAGGGCTAGGAATAAAGTAGTAAAAAAAATTTGCCGTCGTCAGCCATCTTTCTCATCTGGTTCACTTTACCGCCTCCAACTCTCATCTATTCAACACTCATGAAAGAGGCGCCGGCGCCGGCGCCGGAAAGTTTTAATCGAACAATACAGGGGGGGCTCCACCGAGTGGGCGCTGAGAAACTACACCCGCTACAGAAGATCCTTCCTCAAGAAAGAAATCGAGAGCAACCTAAAATTTCATATTACTGTTCTTTTTGTTATACGATTATGCTTAAGTCTATTTGATGGAGATTATAGCTTATCAACTTCATTACTCTGCGTGGTAACCTAAAATCCCAATTTATTCATTTGATTTTCGAGAGTAATTTCATGTTCCGTATAGTGTTCGAGTAATTCCTTATCTACCAATGCTAACATAATGAGATGTAAATTAATTTGTGAATTGTTTAATAGATTGTTATTATTTGCAGTGAATTCCACTTTCTTAACATCTCATATAGGGATGAAGAAAATCAATGTTGAGTGTCATCCCTAAAAGAACAAACAAATTTGTAATAATACCCCTTCTTGGTTGAATAATAGTGACATTACATTCTTGTTTAGTGTCTTGTCTGTTTTGAGAATGTATGAAATCTGAAATGCACATTGAAACAGGAATGACGTGAAATTGAATGATTGGTGTGTTATATTGATTCTGCTGAATAAGCCTAAATCATTTGCCAAATGAAATGCATATGGTCTGCATAATATTTGGTTTTTTCAAGTTGCATTATGCTTGGATGGATATTGGGACTCCAAATAAATCTTTCCTTGTGGCTTTTGGATACTGGAAGTGATTTGTTTTAGGTTTCTTGTGATTGTAAAAAGTGTGGCTGATTCTCATTGAGTTACTATCACATATAGGTATGCAATCAGTTGTCAAAATCAACTTTTTACTCTTTCTCTAATGATTATAAAGCTTTTTTGTTGAAGACATCAGTTTCTATGTGATTTGCATTTTGCATAACATTTCAAAAGCTAAGGTGTTCTGTTTGATTGTACTCTTAAATTGAAGTTTAATGAGGAATATTTCCATTCTAAATGGAACATCAAGTGATTTTCTAGCAATCGAATTTAGCTATTTGTGTATGATTTTCTAATGTTGCTCTTAGTCTATTAGCAGTAATATTTGCAGCAATTAATACGTATCGAGACAAATTTCTTAGGTTATGATATCTTTTATGTTCTTTAATTTACCATGTGTATTAGAAAATAATTAAGTGATGAGTTTCTTACCAACAATCATCAGATGTCAGTTCTTTGAGCTATGCACTATGACTAGATTTACTTATAGTAGGTTTAGCAGTTAATACTTGACTGATTGATTTGGCAAGTGCTCCCCTGTAATTGGGGGCATCTATTATACAAGATAAAATGCTAGGGGAGTATAGTCCATGCTAATCGAGCAGCAGCAAGCCTATATTTTGCAGCCATGAATTTTGCGAAATGGGGCCTACGTGTGAAACTCCAAATCGCCATTGCCCTTATACTGTCGATCATTTTTCTGACAGCACTTCAAGCTCGGGATTTATTTTTGAGAATCAATTGTACTGATTCTCAGTTGTATTGAGGTTCAACGTCGGCCACCGCCACTGAACAATCTATCTGTACCTCGGAAGGAACTCGCTAGAAGCCCACTGGTCAGGGTACTCATCCCTGTTCCTAAGATGTAAGAAGGGCGGTTCTGTTTGGTTCCTGTACGAGCTGTACCTCGTGGACATGGTTTTGCAGGATCAGTTCCATCAAGCAACTTATGGGAAAAAAATATTTATCCTATGTATGTTTTGTGCCCTTAATTGTCTAGTTTCTGCCCTGCTATAATTGGACATGCTTAGGTAGATGAGTAATGTTGATGAGTTCACAATTTCAATTGTACCTTTGTTATATTTCCACACATCATGGTTAAATTATATTTGTTCCTGAATATTTTGTCATTCGAGATTGCTTAGCTCGTTTTATTCTTTCAAGGCAGCCATCGTCCATTTCTTAGCACTTATAGGGTACATTCAGAAGAACACATGTAACATACAAGAACTAGGCAACTGGAAACCGAGGATAATATAAATTGGTCTGCAATGGATGAAATATCTTGAAATTGTCAATCTAGCCCTTCTCATCCCTTGGTTGGGCAAATTGTGGAGCAATTACACATCAATTCAAGTGGAAGCATTGATTTTCTCAAGTTAATTGCAACATAAATTCTTTTTCCTCCAAGTCAATCAACTCTACAACATATTAATATTGAAATCATTATCCATAAAAAAGAAAAGAATAAAAAAGAAATAACATCAAATTCCATCAAAATAATAATCTCATCCATATGACTATAAAAATCCAAAAACCCCAATGAAAAGTGAGAGCCTAATCATTTTAACTGCAAGCAAAATTCGGCTCATGATTGAACACTGGCTACTAATGCTTCAAGAAATACAAGAACTTGCTTCCACTCAATTTTCATCAAAATGCATTCTCAGAACTGGCAATTTTGATTCCCCCTACAAAGATGGAGCTATAAACTCTCTCTCCACCATTTTCCCCACCAACTCCTCCTGCTTCTTTAGTTGCCCTGCCTTTTTTAACTGCTCCATAACCATCTCATAAACCCTCGGGCTCAGCCTCAAAATAAAGAAATGGATACATGCGCGGCCATAAGCATAGTGGTGCCCGATCTCACTCTTGCAGAAGGTAGGGAAATTCAATGCTCTAGTCAAGGCCTTTTAGCAGTCTCACTTGAATTCTCCCTCTCTTTGATCCACCTTCCCGAGCAGGGAAGAGAACGCAAATGCTTCTCCTCCATCATCTCCTTCAAATACTTGTATGCATTATTCCAATCAGGTTAAGCAAGTTAAAGATTTATTACTTTATTCCTTATTTATTCCTAGCCCTTGGATTGTATTTTAATTTTTTTATGAATAAAGGCTGAAAACTAACTGTTGGGGCTGCTGTTATTTTCCCACAGCAGCCCCCCGCACCCTAAAATCTCACGAGTTTATATAGAGTTCGAACATCAATCATAATTATGATGAATTTAACGTCGAAATGCAAATTATGACAAATGCAATAACCTATATGCTTACAGACAATACGAATAAATAATATGTTTACTAATATACAATATAATATAATGTAATTTCACTCAAACAATCACATGTGTGCACATCCCTAAAGATTTCATTAGAGATATGAACGTTTGAGCATCTATCAGCCAACTGGTTTTGTGTTGTAACATATTCAAGAATAATCACTTAATCCTTGTTGTTGTATGAAATTTAACAACGAAAGTAAATGGAAGCACGGTGTAATTAAAGCAAAAAACGATGTAAATTTTGTATTATTGTTGTCTTTTTTATGAGTACAAGAAGTCGGTTTTTGTGTATAACTGAGTTGTTTTTGCATATGCATGTACCATGTGCATAAAAAGATCCCCGTACAATAATACATTCTGTTATTTATAGTACGGTGTAGTTGACTTTTCGTACGAGGTAGATTAGAGCGCATTTAATGTTGAGCAGCTTCATTAAAGCAGTCTGGAGGTCAATGGGGGGACAACAATGATTACAGGAGTAATATGTGGCCCAATCAGATATGCGCCTAGTCACCTACTTTGGGATCCAACTATCTCGGACCTCGGTTGGTGTGGATAATCTTCAAGAAAGAATATTCGAGAAGTCGGTTTTTGTCTTTAGTGTGAGGTCGGTTTGCCTCCATAAGTGAGGTCGGTTTATATTCATGTGTGAAGTCGGTTTACCATCTTATTTGCACTGAGGTGAGTTAAGTTTGTTGTAGGAATTGAGCTGAAAGAAATGTTGAGGATAATGTCAGTAAATCCTCCTTTTAGTCTTCGAAAATATCTAGAAAATCAGGTTGATTGTCAACAATCCTCAACCAAATTTCTAATAAAATGCTAACGAATATCAATTTGTTTTGTACGAGAGTGCTAAATTGGATTCTTAGAAGTATTTATTGCACTGGTATTGTCACAAAAAGGTTTATTGTTTACATCAAAACCAAATTCGAGCATCATTTATTTCATTCACATTAGCTGAGAACAACAACTTTGAGAGGAGATATATTCGGCCTCGGCTGTAGAGAGAGTTACGCAATTCAATTTTTTTTTTTTCTATACCACGAGATCAAGTTGTTGCTGATGTAAAAACATCCTTCGGGCGTACTCTAGTACTGTCGACGCTTTTTTCCCTACCGATATCACAATATCCAACAAGACTAGCACTCATGTCATGTGAGTATAAGAGTTCTAAGTTAGCAGTACCATGAACATACTTAAATATATGTTTCATGGCTTTAAGATGTGATTTCTTAGGATTATATTGATAACGAGCACACATTCCCACACTAAAACATAAATCAGGTTGGCTAGCAGTTAAGTACAAGAGAATATCAATCATGCTTCTATAAAAAGTTGAATTAATCTGTGTTCCTACATCATCCTTAGAAAGCTAGTCTCAAGACACTTGGCATGTTCCAATTCGAATTTCTTTACCAGATTTCTTGCATACTTGTCTTGGTGAAGGAAAATCTCATCCTTAGACTACTTAACTTACAAACCTAGAAAGTACGTTAGCTCACTAACTATGCTCATCTCAAACTCATTAGACATGTGTTCTATGAACTCACTGACACGAGATTTCGAGGTAGAGGCGAAAATAATATCATCATCTTAAAATTTCACAATGATAATAGATCTGTTGAACACAAAGAGAGTATGATCAAATCACCCTCTACTTTAGCCTTTTTTAATAAGAAATTGTGTTAATCGCTCAAACCATGCCCTAGGAGCTTGTTTGAGCTCATACAAAGTTTTTTAAGTCAATAAACATGATCAGAAAAGTGAGGATATACAAAGCCTTCAAGCTGTTTAACATATGAAAGTGAGAGATATACAAAGCCTTCAAGCTGTTTTTTAAGTCTATAAGCATGATCAAGAAAGTGATGATATATAAAGTCTATTAAATACTAATATATATACTTACCACACTTAACAAAATAATATCCAGATTTAATGAAATGAAAGTGAGAGAGATGTAATATATCTTCTTTTTAAATTCTTTTGTTTGCTAGAATATCAAGATATTATTTTAAAACTTTTGTAAAAAATAAATCCTACACCCCTATAAAAAGAAAAATGTTATATGAAATGTGACCCTAATTTTTACGATTAGTTTATTTTCGTAGTCATGCCCTTATTTAAAAAAAATAAAAAATTTAATATATTACATGCACTACAAGAAAATGATGAAATTCCCACCGAAATATATTTGCAATAAAATTCCAACGGCAATTCCAATGGATATTTCAATGCTATTTATTCCGTTGTAATAATTTCAACGGAAATTCCTACAAAAATATTCCGTTGGAATGAGTTTTCCATTGCAATTTCCGTTGGATTTTGACGATTCCAGCAGTAGATTTTTCCAACGGTGGTGGAAATAAAAATTCCAACGGAACATACGCGAATTCTTACGGTGCAATGCCGTTGGAAATATAGCCGTTGGAATCATCAAATTCCATCTAAAATTCCAATGAAAAATACATTCCAACGAAATATTTTCGTTGAAATTATTCCAACGGAAGCTATACAATTGGAATATCTGTTGGAATTTCTATTGGATTAATTTACCATAGGACTTTTCGTTGGAACATAAAAAAAAATTTTGTAGTGATCTGACCAAATGTCCTATTGGCCTACGGACTTACTTGAAGTCAATAATGATGTAATTTATTCCCCTATCTGTTAGTGCCACGTAGCATTGTAGCACCTTCATTGTATGTCTCTAGGAAATAGTCCAAGAAGCTTCATTCGAGCTAAAGGCAAAGCTACATGATTGAAATTAAATAAATAGGTTTATAAAAGTATTGGGTTACTAATCACTTTCCACAAGTTAATCCCCAACTTTCTTCACAAACCCATCAATATTTTCAACGTCAACTCAATGGAAACTAGCCTTCACCTCCAAAAATTCCACATCCCTAACCCTAATTCTAATTTTGATCAAGAATATGGATGTACCTCTCATCATCATCATCATCATCATCAACAAAACGATTCTTTTCACAATCTACATGATATCTCAAGATACCTTATGTCGGACGAGGGTTTCGACCATGGAAGTTTCTCAACGCAAGGCATTTTTGAAAACATAAATTACTCTTACGAAACTTCAAATTATGTTCCGAATGCTTGTAACATGCAAGTTCTCTCTTGTTAGGATCTAATTATATGTTCTTCTCGATTATTAAGTCGTCAAGAAAACAAAAGAAATTGTTGAGAGTTGTTCATTGTTATGTATATGTAGGAAGTTGAGTAAAAGAGAAGAGCGGAACTACAACAAGGAAAAGGAAGAGTTTCGGGTCGCATTCAAAACAAGGACCGATCTAGAGTTCTTGGATGATGGGTTTAAATGGAAAAAATATGGGAAAAAGAAGGTGAAGAGCAGCCCCAACCCTAGGTAATTCTATGTTAAAACAATCTATATTTATATGTGATCTATCATGTTTATGAAATATCTTATATCTTTATTAGATCTTGTAGCTCGATCTTTGATGTGATGAACTAGTAGACAAATAACGTGCATAGAGACCTATATCTTGGACTAATAGTATGGTTTAATAAGGTTTTTACTTCAAATTATTTGATCATAATGTGCTAGTAGATGAATAATGTGCGTGGAGACATATATCTTGGACTAATAGTATGGTTTTATAAGGTTTTTTACTTCAAATTATTTTATCATAATGTGCACGAAGACCTACATATGTAAACATTTTGGACTACTTCATACAAGAAAAAGTTCATATATATTAATGTTTTTCCATAATACACCCTTAAGGTTATTGGTAAAAAGTATAGATATATATGAACTTCTGATAGTCCCTTTGGAATCTCTATAGAAATCAAGAAGTTTGTATTGCTGAAAGGCATACGATTAGAGGGTATGAAGATCCATGATTTTCTTAACATCTGAGGGGAAAATAATTGTGGGTATGAAGATCCATGATTTAACAAGATGAGGAAATTAATTGTGGGTAAAATAAATTTAGATCGAGGGAGTAATATTTCTGTTGATTCTTATCTACTTAGCTATGTTTGGTACAACTATTTAATAAACTAGCATATAGCTGATAAGTTAGTTGATAACTTATAAGTGAATTTCAGCTTATATATGTATGAAAAACAAGCTTTAAGTTTATATGATAAAAGTGTTTAGTAAAATTAACTATAAGCCAACTGAAATAAAAATTTCAATGGGCTTATTTGAAAAGCTACTCAAAAAACTAACGAGATAAGCTCAAACTTTTTAAAAAAACTCGTCCTACCAAATAAAGTTTATTTGTATTTGCAAAAAGTTTATAAACTAACCAAATAAGATATGCGCTAGCTTATGGTGCTTACATGCTCTTAGAACTTTTTTTATGGGAGTAGAAGGAAAAAAATAAAGAAAAATAAGAACATATTTTGAAAGTAAATGATGAGGTACAACATGAAAATGTATGGGTGAATGTTTTAACTTAAATATTACTAGATGAGTAATCAATTTTTTTTTGGGATGATAGTAACGAACATATGTATTAATTGTTCCCTTTTTCGTTTCTTCGTTAGCTTCATGTTTGATCGAATATGGAAGCATAATGTTATTAGTCGAGTGCTCAACGAGCCGCTTAGGTATATGTTTAATTTATTTAAATGTATTAAATGTATCTAACTCGAATCAAGTTCAAGAAAAAAAAAAAACTAATTTGACTAGAAAAAAATTATTAAAAATTCGACTCAAAGCTTGAGCAAATTTCGAGTTAATCTCAAGCCGATTTCAAATATTTTTTTGTACACTTTTATTGAGTTATTAAGNAAACAGTAAATGCTCAACTCCGGTTTGCTTCATTTGCACCAAATTTATATGTGGCACCACCCTAACTATATTACTGAATAATTTATTTTGAAATGTATTATTTCCCTTTCAATTTACCTTAAAGTGAAGATAAACACATCATGAATTCATTAGTATGTGAATTATAGTATGTCCATCGGCCTAGTGGAGGAATAATGGTCCCAAAAACCGAACAGTAATTGGGTTGCATTTGCACCCCATTGCGTTAGCTGGGGTTCAAATAAATAATGACTTTCGATTTTTGAAGTCTTAAATTATTGCATGCAAAGATTTTGTTTATTTGAAAAATCTTACCTAGCCCATCAACTCATGGAATGCTATAATATGATTAATATTATATTAGACTCATAGGGTGATTATTCGCACATATTTAAATTTAAGACAAAAAATGTTAATAATTTTTATTTCTTTTATGTACACAAAAAAAAAATGACAGGAATTATTTTAAATGTACAAGTGAAGGATGCAGTGTGAAGAAAAGGGTAGAAAGGGACAAAGAGGACTCAAGATACGTGATAACTACTTACGAAGGGCTGCACAACCATGAGAGCCCCACTAATTCTGCTGCCAATTGCACCACACAACCATCTTCCCTAATCCCTATTTAATTCTTAAATAAATAATTAATATTTCTAGTATTACTGTATTAGTACGATTATTGTGATTATTATTATTATTATCAAAGTCTTTTGTTCAAATATGGTGTGTCATGTAAAGTAACTATCGTACGTTCTTTTGTTGTTTTGCTATCCTTATAATAGAACTTAATTGTCCAGTCTACAGATAAAAGTTGTGAATAATTTATTTGTATATGTTGCGCTAACTTTAAATAGTAGGCTAGAGATTATTAAAGAGCTTAGAACAAAATGACTCATATATACCACATTTTACAAGCATATATGTAGGATTCGTGTGATTATTATAAGGGTTTAGAACGAAATGACTCATAACCACAGTTTAAAAGCATCTATATATATTAACCTTAAATGATATAGATGATAATTATAATGATGGTACTATGTGTTTGGTTCACAGAACTTTAATCGAGGTAGTATCTGTTGTCGCAGTGGGATCTGGCGTCGGACTCTGGTCGAACAGGGTGACGACGAGTAGTATACGGTGGTCAGTGGCGGAGCTGACGGAGGAGGTCGGGAGATGCTGATTTTGGGGTTGGGGTGATTTTTGTAATTATATAAGATATAGTGACTTATATGCAATTTTCAAGAATTTTAACTATATTACACTTTAGTTCATGGGATAGATATGTAAATTATAAAAATACTAAATGCACAATAATTATAAATAAAGTCCACAACAAAGTCTATGTATATGTACATTAAAATTTCAAAAAGCTACCAAAATGTCAACACGCTTAGACATGGCCAAAACACGGGCCGGGCCCAGGCCCATCCTGGCCCGGCAGGTCGACGGGTTGGGAATCATGGACCCTGAACCGGCACGGACCTAGGTCGCGTTGGGTCCATGGCCCTGCGGGCCGAGCCGGGTCCGACCCGACTCTGGGCCCGTCCAAATAAAAAAAAAATAAAAAACACATGTGTATTTCTTGTGCCGGACTGGACCCGGCCCGGCCCGGCCCAGCGGTCCATGGACGAAAAAAAAAGGACCTGACCAGCCCGATTGAAATCCCGAGCTGGGCCTAGACCCGTGCTCAACGGGCTTGACCGAGCCGGGTCCGTGACGGGCTGACGGGCCGGGTGACCCGTGGCCACCTCTAAACGCGCTACAAAATGCATAGTACTGTTATTCGGTTGGTTTGGTCGAACCGACTGACTAAGATGTCAAAATTGAAATAACTGAGTTAAACTTTTGGAAAAACATAACCCGCCGAAATTTTGTCCTAAATCAAAATAAAACAGAACTGGAATAATTTGTTTATTCAATCAGTTAACCGAATTAACCAAAATAATCATAATTAAATATTATTTATGTTACAAAAATATATTGAATATTTAATATTTTTATTTTTGGTTGTAAATAATTAAAATTTTTACATAAAATTAAATAATAATAATAATAATAATAATAATAATAATAATAATTTTTAAAAAAAAAAGCCAACATCGAACCGTAATGTATAAAATTTCAAACCAAAAATTTTAATTGAGTTGGTTTTGGTCGCTATTGTGCAATCTGATAGTCATCAATGAGCAATTCGACTAACACTATTGTGTATTCACAATGCAGGCTTTTTTAATGATTTGTCCCAAACCAATAAAACTGAACCAAAATAATCGGCTTATTCATTGGTTAACCCAATTACCCTAAATAATTGAAATAATTTATTATGTATATTATAAAATATATTTAGAATTTTTTTATATATATTTAATATTTTATATTATTTTTGGTTGAAGAGAAATGATATATAATATACACAAATTGATAATATACATTCTCACATATACTAATGTGCACTTCGTTTAACATTATTGTCCAGTCTATTGATCCGGTTGTTTTATGTGCATTCTAGTTTTTGAAAACTTTAATAATGTGTATTTTTTTTTCTCGAAATGATAGATTATATTATAAATTAAAATGCACAAATGTGCGAATACACAGCAGCCAACAACTGAATATACAACAGTCAACAACTGAAAAAGTGGGAGGACAGGTCAGAAGACCGCCTAGAGTCCCACTAGCAACGCTAGAAGAAAACTCACAACTAAAACTAACCAACTAATAATGTATGTAGTATTTCAATCAACATTATTTAGCATTTATAAATTTATTTATATAATAAAATATATGNTGTCATGCGGTGTCATTGTACGGAATGCACTGTTTTGCTAATATGCATTCTCTAACGTATTAATATGCATTTGGTCGAACACTATTGTGCAGTCTCGCATTCATCAATGTGCATCATTTTTTATACTATTGTACATTCTATGTAGTGCAATTTTATTTTATTTTTTATTTTTTTTTGTGCAAATCAAACTAAGACCGAATCGAAATAATGGGGTTATTCGGTTGATGAATTGAATTAACATAAATAATTTATTATTTATATTATAAAAGTATATTTATTTTTAATATTATTTTTTAATATTTTATATTATTTTTACTTGAAAATACGTAATATATATATATATGTATGTATATAAGAAAATTATATTTTTATATATGTTTTTATAAATTACAGATTTGACCCCTAGACTAAATTAACATTAATCAAAAATCTTGAAATTGCAATCAAATCCTTGAAAATTATCTAATTCTAAAAAATAAAATTCCCAAATTGAAGGCTCGTCGGCTCAGGTAGGCCCTAGTCACCGGTCGCTTCTCTTCGGCCGATTCTATGTTGGTCTGGTCCTCTGCTCCCCCCAAAGAGGATGTTCCTCTACTCGCAAAGACGTTGGAGGAGTTGGTGCGACAAAGGATGGATACCTCGCGGTGGACGACAGGGTCGGCGTCACCTTGGATTACGTTTAGGGTGTATAAACCGGAGGTGCGACACTATCAGACCTTGTAGACTGTGTCGTTGTTGCCGTGGTCGTGGACCTGGAGCCTCTTGGCGGCGGAGATGGGGGAGGGGGTAGCGGGAGGTGGGAGAAGGAGCTGAAAACGAGGGTGTCGATCGGAGGAGTCGAGGAAGAGGAGGCGGAGGCAGAGGCGGAGACGCAAGTTGACGGGGCGGCGGTTGCCGACGACGGGCATGGGTAGAGCTGCGATGGGAGTGCAATTAGTGTGTGTGTGTGTGAGAGAGAGAAAGAGAGAGAGAGAGAGAGAGAGAGAGAGAGAGAGAGAGAGAAAGAGGTGGGTTGGTTTGGTAGGGCCCATTGTGTGTAATGTCCAAATTTACTCCTTAATTAGTGTAAATATTTGACCTTTTTTAAGCTGTTGAATTATCCGACCTGATGGTTACAATGTATTCTTATTTCTTTCACTGAACACAATTTTTATCGGAGCGCGACCACACACACACACACATATTTCTTGTTAAAAGAACTTTTTTTTTTCCGAAATCCAAAACATACGGAACACTAATGAGGGTGTATTCAATTGGGATTTAGAGTGACATTTTAAGACTTTTTAAGATTTGAGATTTGTTAAGATTTCCAGATTTTGGAGAAATTCCGTGAAATCTTAAGTCTGGAGGTGGGATTTCAACTAGGATTTCGTATAAGGTTTTTTGTTTAGAAATCCCACCAAATCTTAAAAAGTCATAACAAATCCTAGTGTCAAATAAATTAAATACCTCAGAATTTTGTAAGACTTTTTAAAATCCCAATTGAATACCCCAAGATTTTTAAAAGTCTTAACAAATCTAAATTGAATACACCAGGATTTCTAAAGTCTTTAAAAGTCCTTAGAAATCCTAATTGAATACACCCCTCTAAGTGTGATTGGATATTAAAAAACTCAATAAAAAACCAATCACATTTCACCACTCATTTTTTTTAACTCAAATCTAACTCAATTTTTAACTCAACTTCACTATTTTCAATATTATCAATATATTTGAATAATATCAAACAATCGTCGTTACACATCACATCAACTTTATTCACTATTTATGTACTCACATAATTTTAATGGGATGTATTCATTTGGAATTTCGAGTAACATTTTGAGACTTTTTAATAATTGAGACATTATAAGATTTTCAGATTTTGGAGAAATTCTATGAAATCTTAAGGCCGTAGGTGGGATTTATAGCGAGATTTTGTATAAGATTTTTTTCTTTTAAAATCCCAGCAAATCATAAAAATTCTTACCAAATCCTAGTCTCAAAAAAGTTAAATACTATTAGATTTTGTAAGACTTTTTAAAATTTCAAATGAATACCTCAAGACTTTTAAAAAGATTGAAAAGTCTTACAAATCTAAATTAAATACACCACAATTTCTAAAGTTTAAAAAATCTTTTGAAATCCCAAATGAATATACCCCCCTAAGTTTTAACTACACATCACTTCCAATCGCATTTATTCTACTTTTACATCACATCAACTTTAATCATTTTATTTTAGATATTATTTTAATACAAACTCATAATCTCACTCAAATCTAAATCAACTAACTTTTTTAAAATTAACTATGATTAACCAAAAAAACTAATCAAAACTAATATATTCAAACACAAATTTATATTCAATCACACTCTAATTATATATGTGTTTGGACATAGATTATTTTGAAAAAATAAAAAAAATTAATAGTAAAAGTAATGAAAAAAGGGGAAAAACTTAGCTAGATGGATTGATTAATTTTGAGTTTGATAAAACTTAACTTTTCCGGTGCCTCTTCACCTCCTCAGGCGTGGCTGATTTTCGGAGTCCAGATCACGAAATTTTCAGTTTTATCTGCTCCCCATAGAATTGACTCTTCATCGAATCTCTAGGCGGCGCGAGTGGCCGCAGTTTTCGGCTTTGAGTTTCTGGTTTGTTGCTTTGTTGGATCTCTGTGTTGTTGGGAGTGACTTGTGTGTCGACTCAGGTGGTCGTGCGTTATGTCTGCTAGATGTAGGAAAGATTTTATTTTATTTGTACATTAAGTGTGCATTTCTTTTCTTTGTTTTTTAAGTTTGATAGTTCAGTTTGTGTTTCGTAGGGTAGATTGTGTCCTTAATGGAATTGTACCCCTTGGATTCATCTAGAATTCCAAGGGGGTAGGTTCATATTTCCTGGTTGTTTAGTGTCAGTTGACACTTTCTTTATTCTCTTTTGAGTTTTTCAATTATTTAAGTGTTTGATGATTCGGGAATTAATAAAAAAAAGTCAATTTACATGCATACATGTCTAATTATTAAATAATTATAAATCTACTACATTAAACTTTTATTTGCACATCTACAAAACTTAATTTATTAACACGACAGCTCTCTTTCTCTTTTCTCTCTCTTTAATTTTTTACTTCTTCCCCGATTTCTTCCTTAGTTTCTCTTTCTCTTTCTTCTCTCTTTAATTTTTTCCTTCTTCTCCAATTTCTTCCCTCGTTTAGCTCTTTCCCTTCATCCCAATTTTCTCTCTTTTATACTCGCAAATTATCCTAGCAGCAGGGCTCCCTGGAACGGTGCAGAGACCTGCGGCTGCAACTAAGGGCGACCTTGCAACCCGCAGCGACGGGACCAGGGAGCGACGCGGTTACTAGACCCTCGACGATTCAAGGATTCGGCCCCGCGGCGGCGACCCCACGGGTTCGGCCACATTCCTCATCGCCTCTCAATTGGAAAAATCGAACCCTAATTCCACCGGATAAAGGAGAACTAAAACACATTATATACAAAAGGTATACTGAATATATAGTCATTATATACAGAAGATATACCGAAATAAACCAAAATAATCATTATATACCGTATACATCATAAGATATACTGAAAATACATTATGTACATAAAAAAGTTGTCGGTCAGGTTTGGCCACAGCACCAGATCCAGGCATCGGGTTGTCACACGTGGCTTGGCCACCCTCGACGAAATCTGCCAGCCCACTTGTCTTCCTCTCCACCGATGGTCATCTCCCGTCAGCGACGGATCCAAGGTTCGATCGTCACGTGTTGCTCCGCCGCCAGTTTACGAATAAAAAATCAATTTCTGATCCAATTCCCTGAAAAAATTGGAAGCGTGGAAAATTCCAGAAAACGATGTTGAATCGCAAAGGGTCCTTTCATAAATTCTTGGTAATTTCGATGCGTGCAGAAACTTGTTGGGCGAGAGCGATTGTTCAGAAGAGATAACAGTTGTTTGTGGTGAAGATGGTGGTGGTGGTCAATGGTGGTGGCAGTCCGAAGCCATGACGGGTAAGGGTCGGAAAACATCCCCGGTAAGATAAGGTACCAATAATTCAGAGCACACTTGGTAAACATATAAATAACCTACCATCTTAATTAATTATCGTAAATATATAAATAATCTGGGAAGTTGTGATCATTTTGCTAATAAAGTATTAACTAGTACGACACCCGTGTACTACACGGGTTGTTTGAAAAAAAAATATAAAACATAAAATAATAGAAAAAACACATGTTGTATAAAAGTGCAAAAACAGAAAATACAGAATTTTTAAGTCTCTCCTACTTAAATTCAATTTTTGTAAGATGAATAATCGAGATGAAGGTGAATCAGAATGAAGGGGATGGTGATTTAAATAATGTAGAGAACAACTACACTTTATTCATTTAGTTTAATAATAAATGACACCCGTGTACTACACAAGTTGTTTGCAAAAAAATACAAACATAAAATAATAGAAAAAATACATGTTGTATAAAAGTGCAAAAATAGAAAATACAGAATTTTCAAGCCTCTTCTACTTAAATTCAATTTTTGTAAAATGAATAATCGAGATGAAGGGGAATCAGAATGAAGGGGATGGTGATTTAAATAATGTAGAGAACAACTACACTTTATCCATTTAATTTAATAATAAATATATTTTTGAAGGGGATCAGATTAAACAAAAATATATTATTGGAGGGCAAAGATATATTATTGTTTACATCAATTATATAAATAAAATAATATATAAAGCTATATTTTTTATTTTGATATTTCGTGAATTACGTCTAAGTTATTAAGTATTTTAATATTAAACAAAAAATCCTATTTATTTTTTATTTTGGTATTTCGTGAATTACGGATTAAGCAAAAAATCTTATTTTAAGTATTTTAGCATGTAAGCCAAGTAAGTTTCCGAAGCGTGCAAGGCAGCCATTTAGGCTCAGCACATTTTGAAATTAAAATTATTAAGTATTATAATATTAAATAAAAAATCCTATTTACTTTTTTGGTATTTCGTGAATTAAGAATCCTATTTATTTTGGAATTGGAGAGGATGGGATTAAGCAAAAATCCTATTTTAAGTATTTTATTTTAAAAAATTAGGGAGTGTATCCGAACCAAAAGTCGAAGATCCTATTTATTAAGTATTTTATTTTAAACAATTAGGGAGTGTATCCGAACCAAAAACCGAAACATGTAATGTTGCCGAGTAAATTTCCGAAGTGTGCAAGGCATCCATTTAGACTCAATACGTTTTGAAATTATATTAAGAGGAGATATTGTAAATATGCAATTTTTAAGAGCATGATTGGATATAAATCCAACCCAAAAAAATCTAATCATTTTTAACTCAATCACTTTTTTTAACTCAACTTTAACTCAACCCAACTATCATCAATATCATCAATATAATTAAATAATATCAATCAATCATTCTTACACACAATATCAACCTTAATTCACTATTCATCAACTCACATAATTTTAACTAACCATCACATCACATCTTCTCTCTCCTACTTTTACATTAATTTAATTTTAATTATTTTATTTTAAATATTATTTAAATATTTCCACTAACAACTAACCATACCAACTTTTTCAAATTTAACCAATCCAAACCAAAAATCCAATCAAAACAAAAACTTTTGNGATATACTATATAACACGTGACCCAACTCGTAGTTCAACAGTTGAACCCAACCGCTCAAACCGCTATTCCTGGGCACCGATCCAAAACCACCATTTTCTCGATTGCTAAAGCAATTTCAGGTGAGATCACACCCATTCTTGGTCCCTCTGAGCTCGCAATTTCAGGTGATATAGATCGTTGATGCTTGGATACGGCTCCGTCGTTTCAGATCTCATTTGCCTGTTTGTTCTGAACTCAAACCCCATCGATTTCATACTTGAAGGACTTTGATTTCGAGTGGCATGTTTCTGTAGATTTATTGTGGTTCAAGGTGATTGATTATTTGGGAAAATTTCGAGAGATCCGCCATTTTGGGTTATTGGGGATGAACTGGTTGTTGGTGTCAGATGGATTTTCCAGTGGGAGTCTGGAAGATCGATCCTGAGAAATTATTGTTTTTAGTGGAGATTTATAGGACTTGAGGTTATATTTTGGTGATTTTACTTTCTGGGCTATTTCTTACAATTTTAGTTTTACTGGGGAGATAATATTCTGTTTCGGGAAGAGGAGACAATGTTCTGGAGAGAAAGGGAAAGGGAGAGTAAGGAGCAGCAGAATGGCGGGCCTCCGGTCGGACAGGTCAGAGTGCTCATTGTTGGAGACTCGGGTAACTTTATTTTGTCACACAGATCTTGTGTTGTCATTGTGTATGTATTGTTTTCTCCAGCACTAGTTTCTTGTTGTCATCATGGTTGTCTTATTGAGGGTGCTTTTTGGAGCTTACTGCTTAGTCATATAGAATTGTTACTTTCAGATTTATGATAACAGCTACATGGGCTCGGGATAAACCTATGGGTAATTTTCAATAACTAACTGAATCCTGTTTATATTCTGCAGTATGTCAACTATAGGTCTGCAAGGACATGAAAGTGATTTTAGCTTGCTTTCTGTTCTCCCATGTACTAGGCCAGTTGGCATCAGAAAGCTGTGACCATATTTTTTCCCTATTTCGATCAGTGGTATTAATGGCGGATGGCGGTAAATGGTGGTTTGCCAAAATACCACCATAGTGCGGCTCCCTTTGGCGGCCTATGGCACCGCCATAACTGCCGTCCTTCACAAATTTAGCATGGTGGTTTGTCAAAAAATCTGCCACGCAATACCACCATGGCCGCCATTTGATAACACTGATTTCGATACATGACTGGGACACAATTTAGATGTAATAAGGTTTTCTGTTCTTGAGCTTAATGAACTTAAGGATAAATTTACGGGGTTTCCATTCTTTAGATGCATAGGTCTAACTACAGGAGTCATGTACTGGTTAAAGTTGAAGAAATTCATGTGGTTTAGGAGGCAAAAGTTTCTGTTAGTGTAGTATTTGTTTTAAGGAATTGGAAAACGATGAAAAGAAATAATAGGAGTCCAAGGAAAAAATTAAGTGACTTAGGAGGTAGATATGAGTTACTTTAGTATTTATTTTGAGGAATAAAAAAATGAAGAAAAGACACATTGGGACTTCTTATCTTTAGATAATATGATACTCAAATTGAAAATGTTGTAATCAGTGACAGAATATTAGAGGGTCTACTTTAAGTTTATTCAATAGCTGTAATCAGTAGTCTTTCTAAATTGGGCTGTGATGAACAAACTCTCCGGTGGGATGAATGGACATCCGAATCAACTTATGAAGCTCAGTAAGCGTGTTAATATTGTTGAGGATTTACAATATGGAGTATCTGTTCACTTTAGGAATAGTGGGGCAAACATATTAACCAATCATTAAAGTCCCAGACGGATTTACTACTACCAACTATATTCAGTTTAGTTTCTTGTTGAAATTCTTTAGGTTCTATAATTCTATATGGTAGTTTACCTGATCGATACAAGGGTTACTTGACACTGGTTTGGGGTTACAGTTTCTGACTTATTGTCTTGCTCATGTTTTAGCCACAATTCATTCCAACAATTCCAACAAATAACTCTGTGACTTTGTTAGAATGGACTTTAATTTTGTAACTTTGAAATTATTATCTTATGTTTTGTTACACCTTTTCTCCCCAGTTGTAAGGTTAGCAAAAAAGTTAAAGTGCTCTATTGTTTAATGTATCTTGAATTGTATATTAACTGCTGTCTTTCTTCAGGTGTGGGAAAAACTTCTCTTGTTCATCTGATTATGAAAGGTTCTTCCATTGCACGTCCTCCTCAAACTGTTGGTTGTGCTGTTGATGTCAAGGTTGGATTTTCACCTTCAAGTGGGGAATGTAGTTAATCCTCTGTTGTTTGTAGACACTTAAAACTTTTCTACATGTCCTTCTCAGCATACAACCTATGGAAACTCTGGTAGCTCATCCAGTAGCATCAGAGGTGACTCGGAGAGAGATTTTTTTGTTGAACTCTGGGACATTTCGGGGCATGAACGTTATAAAGATTGCCGTTCTCTGTTCTATTCCCAAATTAATGGTACTTTTCTTTTGATTGTTTGAGAGAATCGGATTTAGTTATGAGAAATCTCAAAGACGTATAGCTTTACTGTCAGAGCATGATTCCTATTTATTAGTAAATAATAGGGTAACCCACTGAAATTATTCTTCAGCAGTCACTTTAATTTAATGCTGATTAGGATCTTTTCAGGTTCTATACCTTTCCGTTTCAATTTTCTTTTATTTTTTGGAATTTTAATCTCCTTTATCTGCAAGGTTGTCAATGGAAAATTCATTTTATTCTTCCGTCTCTATTTTTGTTTTTCAGGCGTTATGTTTGTTCACGATCTTTCTCAAAGAAGGACAAAGACAAGCTTGCAGAAGTGGGCTGCTGAGATTGCAGCAACCGGGACGTTCTCAGCTCCTTTAGCTAATGGGGGCCCAGGTGGGCTTCCTGTTCCCTATATTGTTATCGGTAACAAAGCAGATATTGCGTCGAAAGAGGGCACACGAGGAAGTAGTGGCAATCTTGTAGATGTGGCTCGGCAATGGGTTGAGAAACAAGGATTACTTCCGTCAAGTGAAGAAATTCCTTTAACCGAGAGTTTCCCAAGTGGTGGAGGCCTTCTAGCAGTAAGTTTAGGTTTAGAGTATAAGGTTCATACTGCTTTTATGCTTTTTTTTTTTTTTTTTTTTTTTACGACNCTGAGATCTGATTCCTTTACTTTCATGCAGCATAAGATTGACTCTATAGTTAATACCTTTTTCATCGTGTCAGTTTGAATATTTTGGATTGTTAAGAGGTATTGGTTGACTTTAGTCATTCTATGTTGCCACCTTATATTAATTGTAGGTTTGTGATTGCTTAGATGATAAGATGTTGTTTACAACATTTTTTGCTTAATTTGGTACTTCTGTATCCTCATTTTTTTCTGCAGCAGTGCATGACTTCAATTCTGCTGTTCTTAATGAATTCCGAGTATTTGTGTGTGTGTGAGAGAGAGGGAGAGGGAGAGAGAGAGAGTTTTATTCATAAGTTTGAGATGATTTTATTTGTAGTTTGATGATGGTCATTGAACCCATATTCACATGAGAAAAGCTTTGGTATTGATTTATTGAGTCTTGAATCTTTCGGATGAGCTTTATCTTTCTTACCTGGAAACATGTATGATATATCATGATATTTTGAATTTTAAAGAGTAATGAATGCCCTGAAGGCTGAATTTGCTAATCTGAAGACCTGAAGTTCAAGTAATAAACCAGTTTAGTGATATTCTTAATCGTAATCTCATATCAAGAGCTATTTATGGAGTTTCAGAAGTGCTAAGTTGCTAACTATATTTGATTAATCTGCAAGTGATTCTGAAAATTTGTTTAATGCTGTATTATCCTTATATTATATTTGTCTGAAATGTTGCTTAAGTTGTGATTTCAAAAGCTACAGCTTCTGTTCGTACTGCTTGAGGATGTCTAGTTCAAAAAACTGATTTGTGGGTTTTACAAGAGAATGATATATTTAAAGCTTTTTGGAATTACAATAAGGCACACAGTTACTGGCATATTGATGATTTGACCTGCATCCTCCGATTCTATGTTGCCAACTGCAAGTTTATGAATTTTAAGCTGAAAGGCCTTATATTAGTGAACTTTAAGCGAAACAGCATTCTATATCTGTATCCTGTGGTTTTATTATTGAATGAATATTTGCTCTCAATCCAGGCAGCCAAGGAAGCCCGTTACGACAAGGAAGCAGTGATGAAATTCTTCCGTATGGTCTGTAATTTGATTGACGAACTACATTAAGCTGTCATTTATCTTGGTTATATCTTCTAAGTGATTGATATGTTAATTTGTAGTTAATCAGGAGGAGATACTTCTCAGATGACTTGCCTGGTGCAGGCCCATGGTCTGCTCACGTAAATCGGCCATTGACACAATCAAGTGAAATCACGAGTGATGACGACCACCTGTATAAAAGTTCAAGGTACTTATGGAGAAACTATTGTATTTACCTATCCATTT